TCTATGTAAGGAAGAGTACAAAACTTTTCTAAATGTAAATTATCGTAAACAAAGTCTATGAGTTCTTGAATATATGTGTTAAAAACTAAAGACAAACCTATTAGTTTGCTACATTGATAACTTGTGTTGTTATAAGTAGTAATCTTTATTTACATCTCATCATTGTACAGACATATACACAATGTTAAAAAAATTACAGCATAAAAGTACAATGCCACTCCAGCATGGAGTTATAAGAGATGAAAAAATATCACAATATTATAATATAAATATATATATATATATATATAAATACATAAATCATTAGAACAACACGTTTAAGTAAAATAAAACTCCATACATAGACTAATAAAAGGAAACATCGTGACTACCTAAAAGAAGCAATTTAAGATAGTAAGCGTACAACATTAAAACTGAGAAATCGTATAAAAATAACTAAAATAACGATTTTATTTCAGTTAAAAAAACAAACAAACAACAAATTAATAAGAATAGCTAAGAAGAATAGCTGTAGTATTTCATACAAATGTGACAGATAGAAATATTTACATGAATAAGAAGCTATTTACATAATAAAAACCGGCGTCTTTGTAAAATATTAAAACAGGTTTTGGCACAAATACGAATCATATCTATGTTTGTAAAAAGAAAACGGTATTTGTCATCATCAGACAGTGTCGAAAAGCTGTTATTTAAGGAACATGCTTTAGCCAACAAATCCCGCCTTATATCATTGTAAAGAGAACAATTCAAGATAACATGTAATTCGTTTTCTATACTATCAGTATTGCAAAAAGGACAGATCCTGGCTTGCTCTGGTAAGCCTTCATACCTCCCAGTTTCAATCCTTATGGGAGCGACCCCAATACGGAATTTACAGAAAGCAGATCTATGACTTGGTGGTAATATAAGTTTACAGTATTTTTCTACTTTATACTCAGTTTTAAATTTACTATACACTCGTAACTTATTACGTCCACGACCAGAGGGCCCAATAACATTGTTGATTTTGTTATACCAAATACTTATACAATTATTCAATGTTTTCACTTCAACATCATGGGCAAAAGAACGAGGTATAGTACTGATAAAACTGGTGTACAAATGTAAATCATTGACATCATAATAACTTCTAACATGAAAATACCAGTTTCTACATGAGCGACTAGCTTTATTATAAGACCAGAGTGCCAAACGTTTATTAATTCTTGCCGAACTCATACATGATAGCTTAGACCAGTATAAAGAAATACATTTCCATTGTCGGACAATTGGGGGTTTCCAACCCATATCGCCTGCTACACCATCATTAGGTGAATATTTCCCGACACCAAGAAAGAAACGCATAGCTCTGTTATGAACGGCCTCGATACAAGAATATGACCGGAAACCCCATAATGGAGCGCTGTAATTAATAACTGGCCAAACGACGGTGTCGTATAATTTTGTAAAGACATCGTATGGTACACCACCAATGACTTTGCATTTAGCAATTAGCAATCCTAAAGCACGACTGGCACTCTGGGCAACAGATTTTACAGTAATATCGTAATCTAAATGTTCATTAAGTACTACGCCTAAGTAAGTATATCTATCAACAATACAAATCTGATTCGTTCCGCAAGTAAACATAAATTGGGTACATAATTCAGATTTCGGTCGGAAGTGTACAACATTACTTTTATTGGCATTAACATTCATATTATTAAGCGAACACCAGCATTCTAGAGCATTTAATAACACTTGCAGATCCTCTGCTGATTCGGACAGTATAACAATATCATCGGCGTACAGCATAATACAAACATTCTCGGTTTCAATGTCTATACCTTTACCAAATGATTTAAGATAAATGGACAACTCGTTAATGAATAAATTAAACAAAAGAGGTGAAAGGATACATCCCTGACGTAGGCCACAATTAACATCAAACCAACCTGTCCTATGATTGTTAACCCTAACACATGACTTTACCGATACATATAATGATTTTACAGCTCCAAACATTTTACCACTTATGCCTATATCAGATAAGCGCTTCCATAAAATACTTCTATCTATAGTATCGTATGCCTTTTTAAAATCTATGAAAGCACAAAAAGTGGATTTACGTAACTTTTTCCTAGTTTCAATTAAATTTGTTAAGCAAAGTACTTGGTCTGTAGTACTCCGACCTTTTCTAAAACCATTCTGTTCGTCAGAGACCTTATCATTGTTTTCGGACCAAGCATTTAACCTACTATTTAAAATAGAACAATAAATTTTATACATAGAAGGGGCTAGGGCAATACCTCTGTAAGACAAGGGGTCTCTGCATATATGTTATATGTTGTCATCGATCTTATCGATCTTCTATTTTCTTTTGTCGGCTTATAATGAAATATTATTTAGCACTTGTTTTTCAGTGAACGAATTTCATAATTTCATATTTTACTGTTTTAGTAATTCCTTAAAAACGCCAAAAACAGCATAAAGTAAAAGCACGCAGCCTCGCTTGGATTACGTGTGCGACTTGAGAAAATCTTTAATGAATTTGATTGCATATAGACAAAAGGTATATTTGCTATTTTCAATTACTATGTTTTACTGTGTCTTTTTACGTTTAAGGTTGCTTGAATAACCTTTTTTCTTCAAATATTACATCGAGTTGAAAAAAAACATCAAGCGCACGAAAGAATGTGTTTTTCGAAAACCCATATAAATTCTTATTATTCTAGTTAATCTTTATATAGTGTCAATATTCAGAATTGCAATCCCGTGTTATAAAAAGTAATTGACATTCAACCTTTGAGTTATTTATATATGATTTGTAGACTGGGCAGATTTTATGAAAGAGGAGTAAGAAAAAAAATCCAAGACAATCAAATTGTTAAAATGTCGATCAGCATTAATATAATTAAGTATTCAGTATTTATAAAACAAGGATCAAAGCATTGTTTCTTAGAAGTTACTTCAACACGTTTTACCGTGATATAATTAAATAAGCTAACTTAAAGGTAAATTCAATTGATTTGATTCTCCTAAATTTAGAACTATTAATTCTCACATTTTAATTATTACAACTTTAAACTTCGTTTTGTGCAAAAAGATAACGATTATATGGGTACATATAACAAGAACATTTAAAATTGTGAATCTTAGATCTCTACTAATTAGTGTAATGTAATTCCAATGTTTCTGCTTAGACCATTGATAGAATAAGATAATGTTAGGTAATAGATTAAAAGGGTGTTATAAATAAGGGTAAAGTCAAAAATAATGAGGCAAAAATTTGAAAATAGGGTCAAAATTGAAAATTTATATTTCATTTTATTTTTCACCTAAAACCATGTGATATTGATTGATGTTTAATGCCGAGTAATTGGATTTTATCTAACACAACACAAATTGTATAAATCAACATTTTATTTCAACTTATTAACAAAAATTAACAAAACCAATGCTTTATAAAATTGTGTCACTATACTTCCCAATGTTAATTAAATCATATGTTTTTGTTATATGTTAGTAACAGTAGTGATGTTAGGATAAGAAATACACCATTTTTTTTTACCAGAAGTTTTACAACAGAAAAAAATGCTATTGTTGTGTTACAAAAGTCTGATTTTCTTTAATGTAAGTACATCATGTTTTTCTATAGCTGGAGAAAATTGGGCAGAGAAATAAAAAAGTAGTTGTTAGTATGTATTAATAAATACTTTGATGTAAAATAAAGTTTCCAAATATTTCAACCTTTCAAAAAAAAATAATATGCAGTCAAATTTAACTTTGATTTTACATAAAAGCGTTACACTCCTGACATGACTAGCATAAGTTGTTTAAATGATAATAGTTCTTTACAGAAACATTGGAGGTAACAATAACATAAGAAAGACATGTACAGAACAACACTTATGTTTGAAAACATACTGATAGGTTATTAAATTTGAGAATAATTCTTAGAGGAAAGATATGAAGTTGCACTTAAAACCGCAAACAAGTTTCTAACAAGTAAACAATTAGAAAATAAATGGAAATAAAGGTTATAAACATTAATTAAGCTTCTGTTCCTAACCATTAGGAAAATATGAAAATGATTTGTACCATGAAGAATCTATTTCACAAAAAAAATTACAGTAACACTTTAACATTTGAGTGTTACACTCCTGACAAATTCAGGCAAGACACTTAATATCTTAAAATATTGATTTAAAAACTTTTACAATGAAATACTTAAGACAAGTATTAAGTTTTCTATGTTAATTGTTCCTTTTTGTTTGTCTTGCCTTTTTAAAAACACTTTGATAAAACCTTTTATAAATCTTTACTATATATAAATGTTAACCATCTGAGTGTAAAGATATTTTTTTGTATATATGACAATGTTCTACTTGCTTTTCTACCCCTGTTTCATTACCATACTGGTTTAAGAGGACATTTACTTAAATAAAAGGATAAAAAGTAAACTACAAATTTAAACTACAAACATTAACATGAACTGTCAAAATGTGTTTACACTCCTGACACAAGATGTGCACTTGACACTGTTTATTTTGAAAATATATGATTTCTTGGATTTTAAGTCATTCAGGTTAAATTTAAGCCTGATTCCGCGGCCAGGAAGAAGAATTGGCATTTTTGAGCTTCTGAACAATATCTTCCAAAGACTGCCAGGACACATCCTCTTTGGCTGGCCAAAACTGTACTCGTCAGCACCTCCGCTTGCTTTAAGGAACCTAACTTGGATGTCATCATCTGCCCTGTGATATTACCTATTCAATAAGTAGTTAATATAATTTAAATGAGTTTATTTGGTCAAAGAAAAACAATTTCATTTCAAATTCTAAAAAATTCCGTCATAAAGTTACTGAGGAAACTAATGAAAAGTATACAAAAACAACAATAACCCACCTTAGCAATGTACAGATATGTTTTTCTGTTTTGACTTGAGAGCTACAGCTACAAAATCTTCAGGGTTAAATCTGCAATATGATAATTAAAAGGTTTTATACTGTGTCTTTAAAAGATACACATCTATAATTATTGGTAAAATTCTTCTGACAAAGAACAGAAACCTGCTTAAATTTATCCTTTTATATAAGATATTTATTTTGTCTTACCTATTTAACCGCTGCAAGCTAACATAATGCTCAATTTCTGGAATGTAACCAACGACAAGTGTTGGTATGTTACTGTCTCCATCTCCAATGCTTATGTTAGGAGTATCCCCATGAACAACATCTATCTTGCAAGACAGTGCTTTGCACATATTCTGTAAACACACATGGTCTGCATAGGTTCCATTCTTTGACATTTTTTCAATATATTTGGTTAAGTCACTTGTCAAGAACTGCTCTAATTCCAATTTGTCAGTCTGAAAAATAAAATTGTAAATTGTATCTTTTTTGAATCTTTGATTTAAAAATATAAAATTACAAGTTTTTTAAATTAAAAATTTAATAATTAAATGAATTTCAGGCATGACTTTAAAACTAAGCTTTATAATAAATACCTCTGATAAATTTTGCATGTGATGAATTACTTTGCTTCTCAACTGCGTGTGAGTATGTTCAGTCATCCCCAGGGCATCTAACTGATCACTGATGGCCCAAAAGAAACAATTGCCGTCATCCTCGAAAATCTCCCCAACCCTTTTCTGCGAATTTTATTTTCAAAATTCACTTAGAGTTTTCATTTTTATGCTCTGTTGAGTTGTTATAAGACTCAATGCTTTCTGTAAGCACACCTCTCAGGTTAGTCTCTCTCTCACAATGGTTAGTATTACTAGCTACTACTTTATTTAAGGATAGGTATAAAGCAAAAGCGGAGCAAAATGCAGTGTTTTTAGCAAAATTCAAAGGGTTAAAATAAAAGACTAAGGACTACAAAAAGCAAAGCAGAGAAGCAAGCAAAACTGAAAATTGAATATGTAGGAACTGCATGCAAAAATGTGATAGCAAAAAATGATTGCAGAATTAACAGTAATTATCATAGATGAAAAAAAAAAAATTACTGTATGTCTTTATTGTTTTATTGACTTGGTTACCATTTAGAAATAATGTCAAATCTTATCATACTAATTGGCATACTTGTTTAAATGAGTTTTATAGGATTTAAGAATTGAAAATTGTCAAGGATACAATGATCAGATGATACTGTATCAAGTTCATGATAAATTTTGTTCTTCATGGATTGTTTTACCTGTAGCCAAACTAAAGTGTTTTTGGATTTTTTCTGTACTGACTATACAAGCAGTGACCCTGTTGGCCACCAGTACAGACAACACATATACAACTCAGGTCATAGCAGGTGAGCACATCTGTACTTGGGTGATGCTGGGAAATCATATGAAAAGAATGTGTTCCTTTCAGAGACTTAAGAGTTTGTTTGATCTTTGGTACGGATATCTTGATTTTCTTGTATGGCATGAAGATAATCTTTTGATTGATCTTCTCATTTGGATTTTGAGAAAGAGCAAGATATACTTGGTAGGCATTGTTTATGACTTTGCCTCCAAGAATGAGACGTTCCAGCTTTCTTTTGATTCCAGCACCAATGCCATCACTTTGACCTTTGCCATGTCCAGACTCCATGAAATGGTAGATAACCTTGATGTCAAAAGTTTCTTGAAGAAGTGTGATATGATTAAATGCTTTGCTGCATTTGTATTGCGCTGCACAATTGTCAGTGAACCTATGGATAACCTTTAATGGACAAGGACCTGGGTTCTTTGCAAGATGACCTATCAACTGTGTTGTAAATGTATAAACAACATCGGCATTGTGTGCTAAGTAATCAGATAGAAAAACAATTGACTCTTTCACAATCACTGGATTTTCTATTGTACTTTGTGGGTCATGTCTTTTTCAATTTTGTCCGTGTTGGGCTTTCTTTAGGGATTCTGTATTTATCTATGTTACTATAAAAACCGATGTAATGTAACTTGTTTTGTAGTCCAGTGAGCTGATTTCTATCTCATCTTGAGGTTGTAGGAGAAATGTTCTCTGAAAAGTCCATAACAACCAAGCAGTGGTCCAGAGGAAGGTCTGAAAGTAAGTAGGCTTTCCATTTTATAATTGGAAATTTGCTCTAAATAAATGGCTTGAATGACTTTTCAAGAGATTTAGCAATATCATGTACAAGATCTGCAACACTGCAGGTCTTTTCAGCTTGTATCCAGCGAGTTGTATGCTTTTTTATCTCCATCTTTAGAAATATTAACGACTCTTTTGAGGACTCCCATTGGTAGTACTTTGCCACAACACTGTTTCAGGCACATGCCTGAACAAGTGGTTTCATAGGTGTTGGACAACGATAGCAGTTCCACAATCGAACACATTGCCTAATCAACACATGAATTTTAGGGATGTCTTCAATATGGGCACAGAGAATAAAGTTTGACAGCTTTTAGGGGTGGCTTTTTAATAATGGCATTGACTGCTGCTGGGCAATCTTATTCAAATTGGCTTCAACTTTTTGTTCAAAATTGAAATCTTTTGTGCAAAGTGACATACAGACTCCCTTCTGCATGTCAAGTTCTAACCGTTTGAAATTTCTTAGGAATCATTTTTCTTAAAAGTGCTGAATTCTCCTTACCCTATAATCTGGAATTGAATAGCTTTTTAAAGCTCCTTGAACAAATTTTCCAATTTTTGTACAGAGCAGATGAACGGCTTTGGAACATGCCTGCCCATCTATCAAAATTGGTTTGTCCTTTTTGTTTGGCATTTTCTTGAATGTTCGTCAAAAGGAAAGCTTAGGTAGTTTTGGGCATCCATGATTGTTTAAATTGAGTGGTTTTGACAATCTTTTTGCTTGTTTGTTTTTTCTTCGTTTGTATTCATTTAGTGATTTTTTGCTATTCCAGAGTGAAGTGCTTTTTTTCTGAAAAAGCCAACTTCTTTTTTGCACCTGCCTGTTCCTTGTTAGGCCTTCCTTGTCTTCTTAATTCAAGAGTTTCTAGCAGATTTTCAGTACCTGGACTAGATGTTACTCAAATTAAGCAAGACCTCCTCTTAGGTGTAGCATGTTTTATGATATGGCTCATTGTTTTGGCCCAGTAGTTGGAATCTTCAGGCAAGGACTTTCGAACACGTTCAGCTCTTTTGCGTAATGTTGAATGTTGATCAACTTTCTTTTTACAACTGTACCTCACATTTGTGTTTGCTGTTTCAATGTTTAGTGTTTTGCTTTTACGTTTCCTACTGTCTTTTGTCCACTTTCTTTGCTTTACTTTACACTCTCTGTCAAAATTCTCATCATTTTCTCTCTTCAATTTTTGTTTAGATTTATATGCTTTGTTCTCTGTTTTTTTCTTTTCTTTTAATTCAAGTAGCTTTTGTTTATAGACAGGGTCATTTTTAAGTTTTTCACGGTATTTACGAACCCGTTCTTTTGAAGATTTTGTTGTTTTTTTCTTTGTTTGTTTCTTGTCATCATCTTGTTTTTGTCTTGTTATATTTGTAGAAACATGTGATTTTAGAGCTCTTTCAATAGCAGGAAGGCTTACTTTTAGTTTTTTCATACTTACTTCAATTGTTTATAAGACTGCTGAAAATAAAACAAAGTTAACTACAATTGCTGAAAAAAGAAAAAAAAATGTCAGGAGTGTAACACTTTTCACTATTCTCACATATTAACTTATATTGCATACAAATTCTTCAATAACTGTATATAAATGCTTTGTTCTGCAAAGAGTATATATATTATTTTAATTTCTCAATAATTTACTAAGTGTATTATCATTAGATTATATGATTATACTTGTCAATAGTAGACATTTAGGAAATTTTGATGTTATTTAAGTAAATATACTTAATATCAGAACTTAAGCATTGTTTTTTTAAAAAAAAAACTACTAAATTACCTTTCCTCATGAATAGTGGCAAGAATCATTTTTAGATATGAAATTTACATGTTATATTCATGAAATAGTTACAAGGTTAAAAGATGCAAAAATAGTGTTACACTCCTGACGTCACTTATGATCATGTACAGAAAGTACATGATTTAGTTAACTTGAACTAATGTCACTGCTGACATCACTTGGACTCATGTTTCTGAAAAAGAAAGAATATATTTATATAACACCATGTATGCAATAAGGAAATCAGTAAAAGTACAAGATGTTACACTCCTGACACTGAGCACTGTCATTATTTTAAATCGAAACCGAGTCAATAACATTTAAAGCATAGAAAAAAGAGAATTTATATCCTTAACTATATACAATGGTCAAAATGTTAGAAGCAAGGAAAAGCTGTTAATAACAAAGAAATAAGCAGAAATTTTACTGTTAGTACAAACCATGCATTTTTTAAAGTACATTTTATTTTACAACGACTGACTTTAGTGACTGGATAACCAAGTGGGATACCTACATTTTACAAAAAAAATAAGAAAAAGCAATTGCAAGAGCATTAGATATATAACATAAGTAACAAAAATTGTCATTTAAGAAACTGTTTTTCTGTATCAGGAGTAGAGAATCATCATTTGTGTAAAATGTCACACTAAAAGTGTTACACTCCTGACATTTTTGGGTAATTTTTTTCTTGCAAATTTTTCACTTGTAGCATGATGTCCCTTAAACTTGGCATATTTTACAACTCTGATAGATGCTATATTTAGCACATATAACAATATATACATCTATTAAAATATTAGTCTGGGTAGCCTTTAAATGTTTGGCCTCATTATTTTTGACTTTACCCATAAGAGAATCGCATTCTGGAGCATGCGTTGCGTTATTTTGTCAGTTGTTCTTATTAAAGTGATCAAACGTTACATTTAAAAAAAGCATATTCCATTTTTCCCCAAATAGACTTCATATTTAGTGTTCAAACCGTCTACAGTTATTTGGTACGCTTTCCACTCGCGGTTACAAAATAAACGCACTGTTTGATACAATTTTAATAGTCCTCAGAACGAGTCTTGTTTTGCATTTTGCTTTGTTAATTCACCATACTATATATTTTTACCTGTTGCTCTGTTTAGCATATAAACCTATCGTTTAAATGTAATTCTACTTTGAACAAAATATTCATAGTAACTATACAAAGCCTTGATATAGTTTTTAGGATAATAATTAGCTGTGATCAGGAATAACGTTCAATGTCATACTTTCTATTTCTGGCCTGGAGTTTTTAACTTGAAAACGTAACAAAAAGTCATTTACATATATGTACACATTTCTACTTTTTAGACAACCATACTTAACTTTTGCATATCTTTGCTAATTGGAAGACAGAGAAAAAAATAGTAAAAGAACAGTTTTTTTTTGCTGATACTTTAAAATTAGTAAAACGAAAAAGAATAACGTGTAGTCTCAATTTAAAAATTATATGGATGAATGGATACATGTAAAAACAAAGCGAACTAAAAATTAAATTCCACTTGTATAAACCAATGTTATATGTAGCTTATCTAATATTTAACACGATTTGAAGTAAATATTTTATCGTAGAATCACAGCATGAACTTGACATATGATTCATAAGATCCAATATTTTATCCGATTGTTGTACATTACATCAAATATAAACTTAAATATTGTTATTTTTCAAGGCAGTTAAGCACAAATGACATATGGACATATGACATATGAAGTTAAATACAATTT